TCTGTGTCTGTGTGTGTCTGTGTGTGTCTTGTCTGTGTCTGTGTCTGTGTGTGTCTTGTCTGTCTGTGTGTGTGTGTGTGTGTGTGTGTGATCGCTGCAGGTTCTTCAAATCGATCCTGATGCCACAGACGAGGAGCTGAAGAAGCGTTTCAGACAGGTAGATCTTCATCTCTCTGTGAGTGTGTGTGATTCAGAGAGTCTGAGTGTCTCACGCCCGTCTCTCTCTCTCTCCTCAGCTGTCCATCCTCGTCCATCCAGACAAGAACCAGGACGATGTGGATCGGGCCCAGCTGGCCTTCGAAGGTGAGCCGCAGCCTCTGTGAAGCTGCTGAAGGTGTTTAGAGCGTGCTGCGGGTGTGATGTTGAGTGTGTGTGTGTGCGCAGCGGTCGATAAGGCCTATAAGATGCTGCTGGAGTCGGAGCATAAGAAGAAGGCGCTGGATGTGATCCACGCGGGGAAGGAGTACGTGGAGCACATGGTGAGCTGCTGGTGATCTCCAGACACACGTGTGTTTCTACAGCGCTTCACACTAACCCCAGCCTGACCTCTGACCTCTCACAGATGAGCCAGAAGAGGAAGCAGCTGAAGAAGGACGGGAAGCCCACCGTCATGGAGGAAGACGACCCGGAAGTGGTACGTTCACCTCAGCTGCTGCCTGATTCATGCTTGACGTGAAGGTCAGGAGTTCATACAGACGCCACAGGCTTTCAGTGTCTGGTCCAGTTTGTTTCCATATCACTTCTCATCCAACATTTAATTTGATTGCACTTTATATACACTGCCAGTCAAAAGTGTTTGAACAGTAAGATTTTTAATGTTTTTAAAGAAGTCTCTTCTGCTCACCGAGCCTGCATTTAGAAGAAATGATAGAAATTAATACTTTTATTTAGGAAGGATGCTTTAAATTGATCAAAGGTGATGATAGAGACATTTATAATGTTACAGAAGATGTCTATTTCAGACACTTCTGAATGTTCTAGGCATCAAAGAAAGCTGAAAGAATTCTACACGGCTGTGTTCGACATTGATAATAATCAGAAATGTTTCTATAACAGAGATTCACACAGAAAACAGCTGTTTTAAATAGTAAAAATATTTGTAAATTTCGGATCAAATAAATGCGGGCTCGCTGAGCAGAAGAGACTTCTTACTGTTCAAGAACTTTTGACTGCTCGTGTATTTGTGTCTGTAGAGTTCAATCTCAATCTCGTTTTATAGAATTGCTTCTACACGGCTGTGTTCGACATTGATAATAATCAGAAATGTTTCTCGAGCAGCAGATCAGCATATTATACTGATTTCTGAAGATCATGTGACACTGAAGACTGGAGGAATGATGCTGAAAATACAGCTGCGCATCACAGAAATACATTACAGTTTAACAGAGATTCACACAGAAAACAGCTGTTTTAAATAGAAAAAATATTTGTAAATTTCGGATCAAATAAATGCGGGCTCGCTGAGCAGAAGAGACTTCTTACTGTTCAAGAACTTTTGACTGGTCGTGTATTTGTGTCTGTAGAGTTCAATCTCAATCTCGTTTTATAGAATTGCCAGGCTATTCGTTATGTTCGTATATCGCTTATGATGAAAGTTCATTAGCCTAGCCTGATTTAAAATTCTTCATAACAAATCTTAAGAAGTTAAAAGTTAAGAAAGAATGAAATTAGACTGTAGGCTATAGATCTATAGGCTAAGTTTTGTAACTTTTATTAAACTGCAGATCGGGAAAAAATATAATAATTCTTGATAATCTTTCAAATGAGAGAAATCAGTGACATAATTTAGGCTATACTTTCTTCGACTGCAGAAAAAAACTAAACCATTTCATTTGCAGTGTTAACTTATGAATTCAATGAAAAACAAAAAATAAATCACAACAAGAACAAGAGTTTTTTTTTTCTTGTAATCAAAAAAAAAAATTTGACAATTTCAAAATGAATGCTGAGTGATATTTGACCGTGCATAGCCGCAGACAATCGTTATATGCAATATGCAATTATTGTTTTTAAAGCTCTTTATGTTCTGTATTATTCAACAAAGACAAGCTATAAATCATTGTATAGTGTAACCAACACACTATTAGATAGATTAAACATAAATGTTCTTCTCTGTAGGCCAGGCCTATATGTTACGATGAAATTAGGTGATGCATGAATTAATATGAATGATATTTTTATTTAACATCTACAATCACAGTATATTGACTGATTTGTTGAACTTCCAACCTTGTAAGCATGTACTAATTATGTTTAAATAAGCCTGGTGTAAACATTAATATGAAAGTCAGTAACAAATCACACAAACTAACGTAGATTGCAGAAATATAAAAACAATCTGTTGCTTTAGCACACTACTTTAGGTCATTCAGTCACTGTAATAAACATGTGCACTGCACTAAACACTGTCTGATAGCTTTAGACCAGTGCTTCTCAAACTGTTCTGGTCGCGCCCCCCTCAGACTACCAAATAATTTCACTAAACATTATGAAAAATTAA